AAAAGAATCTTTTCGGACACTATAACTCCTCAGTTAAGGGAAACAATAGAAAGAATAAACAAATGGGACTTCATCAGACTAAAGAGCTTCTTCAAGGCAAGGGAAAACAGGATTGAAACAAAAAAACAGCTCACTAATTGGGAAAAAATATTTACAAACCACTTATCCGACAAAGGGTTAATCTCCATAATATACAAAGAACTCACACTGCTTAACAACAAAAAAAACAAACAACCCGATCAAAAAATGGGCAGAGGACATGAACAGACATTTCTCAAAAGAAGATATGAATATGGCCAATAGGCACATGAAAAGATGTTCATCATCGCTAATCATCAGGGAAATGCAAATCAAAACTACACTAAGATATCACCTTACATCTGTTAGATTGGCAAAAACATCCAAAACCAAGAGCGACAAATGTTGGAGAGGTTGTGGAGAAAAAGGAACCCTCATACACTGTTGGTGGGAATGCAAACTGGTACAGCCACTATGGAAAACAGTATGGAGATTTCTCAAAAAGTTAAAAATAGAAATACCCTATGACCCAGCCATCCCATTACTGGGTATCTATCCTAAGAACCTGAAATCAGAAATCTCAAGAGTCCGTTGCACCCCTATGTTCATCGCTGCATTATTTACAATAGCCAAGACGTGGAACCAACCTACATGCCCAGAAACTGATGATTGGATAAAGAAGATGTGGTATATATACACAATGGAATACTACTCAGCCATAAAAAAAGACAAAATTGGCCCATTCACAGCAACGTGGATGGACCTCGAGGGTATTATGTTAAGCGAAATAAGCCAGTCAGAGAAAGACGAACTCTATATGACTCCACTCATAGGTGGAAGTTAGTATATTGATAAGGAGATCTGATCAGTGGTTACCAGGGAAAAGGGGGGGTGGGGGGAGGGCACAAAGGGGGAAGTGGTGTACCCACAACATGACTAACAAAAATGTACAACTGAAATCTCACAAGGTTGTAATCTATCATAACATTAATAAAAAAAAAAAAAGTTTCAAAGGCGGGACTGTAGGGGACTGGAATTGGCCACCCCAAGTTATGTCTCTTTGGCATGAGGAGTAGTTGGGGCTGGTTACTTTTAAAAAAGCTGCAGACAGGAAAGAAACTCTGAAAAGCAGAGTTTACTTACCCTTTGTTAAGCAACATTTACACTGTAAAGGAAATCTCCATCTGTAAAGGTGTCTCCCTCTCTGTATCAGGATGGAGGGATGACGTTATCTCTAGAAACTCTTATCAATGCAGAAGGCAAGGACTTAAATCTGCATAATAACCTGACCCTTGTTTACTGCACTTGTCTGGTAATCTCCTGTAACTGACTCCCCTCTCCCCCAACATCCTCCTTTGTCTTTAGCTGAAGATGATATTTAAGGTGGTGGCTTTGGCCATTTTTGGTGAGTTGCTCAGGTTGCCTGAGCCTCTCCCATGTATACATCTTATAAAGCTTTGTTTAATTTTCTCCTGTTATTCTGTCTCATGTGAATTTAATTCGTTCTCTGCCAGAAGAGCCCAGAGTTAGTAGAGGAAATGTCTTTCTCCCTGACAACAGCAATGACTACTGGGATTGTATGAGGAGTCAGGAATCAATGTGAGGCTCCCATCGCCAAGATGGCACAATTTGAGCACCAATAAGAATAACAATTACAACACATTTTATGTTAAAAATCCATGAGTTCATAATGATAAACACAAACACCTACCACTCATTTGTCACCTCTTAAGAATGCTAAGAAACTAAATCACTACTCTAAAAATTAGCAAGTAAAGGGAAAGAATCAAGCATTTAACATACCTTTCCTATATAACCAAAGAGTAGACGAAGGAAGCTTTCTCTTTCTATTCCAGTTAAGAAATAAAGGGGAATGACAAAATGAGAACCTCACAATTTTTCAAAGCCCTAATGGAATATGGGACATAACTGCAGGCCCTCCAGGACCCGTTCAACTGACCCCATCTTATCAACAGAGTAATTAAAAGTGGTTTTTCAGGAACTGAGACCCTTTGTCCAGTTCAGGCTGGTTGAGACCACAAATCCATCAACTCATCCTGAACAAATGCTCGACAAGTGACCTTTTTGACATCAAGAAGCTAAAAACTCCACCCTCAGATTATGGTAACACTGCCATTTTGTGAACATGTGTCCCATGAAGAGGCATAAAGCTTGACTGCCCTTATGCAGGTCATCAATTTCCTCACCTCTCCTTATCTCCAATCACCTATTCCCATACTTCAGACCACCTTGCCCCTTACCCTGTAAATATTCCTGTGTCCCCATTTTCTGGGAGGCAGATCTGAGATTGATTTGCCCACTTCCTCGTCTGGCTGCCTTGTGATTAAATCCTTTCCCTTTCCAAACTCTTCCTCTCAGTGATTGGCATAATCATGTGGACAGGCAAAAAGAACCTGCTTTGGTAACAGGATCCTGGCAGTGATCATTAATGGCCATTAACATCAGAAAAAAGAAAATCAAACATCATATGCCTCCCAATTGAAATACATCCGGACATATGGATGAAAGTATTCTCCCCACCCCCCTCACTCAATAGGACATGAATCTAAATCAGCTTCTACATTTTTATGACCAATTCACATACAATACAGGAGACAGAGAAGCATGTTAAATGACTTTGTGGAAACAGTCAGCAAAATTCAGAATAAGGCTTAACTCTGCTGGACTAACAATGTGGTTTACCCAACAAATATGTTAAAAGGGAGGGGGGAAAAGCCAGCAAGGTAAAGGGGTAATTTGAGATCAATTAAAAGATATTATTAAGACAAATCAACCAAATGCACTACATAGATCTTACTGGATCCTTATATAAAGAAATCACTGTTAAAAAGAATAAACTACAACAATTAGAGACATTTGATCATTGTCTGGATGTTTGATGATATTAAGGAATTACTGTAAATTTTTTACATGTGAAATTAATATGGTAGTTATATTTATTAAAAAATTCTTTTTTCATAGAAGTAAATATTGAAACATTTATGGAATAGATGATATAATACCTGGAATTAACTTCAACATAATCTAGTGGTGAGGGAAGTGTCAGGTTATACATAAAACATTGAGCTAGGTAATGGGTGCAAGGGAGTTTGTTATGCTAAACTGTCCCCTTTCTTTTTTTGGTAATGCTTGAAATTATCCACAACAAAAAGTTTTTAAAACTTCCTCCAAGTATGAACTCTTCAGAGCTCAAGTTTGACCACAGATGACAACTCCACCTTAGTCTTATTGGTAAACTCAATCACATTCAAAAGCAATTCTCTACCTCTATCTACTTCCTCGCCCTTTATATCTGTGAAAGGCACCACAATCCTGGCAGTGAGGCCTCTCTCACCTTCAACATCCAATTGGCTGTATCAAGTCCTGTGTGGATTGTAACTTACCCCCAACCCCCTTCATTTCTTTATTGCCACTATGCTAGTTCAGCTCTCACCACCCCTTGCCCAATGCTTCCTAGCTCCAGTTCATCCTGCATTATCATCTATGTCTCTAGTCTTCATTCCCAAACTATCCCTATAAGCACCCTATTCTCCAACCAGATTTAATACCCTCCCCATCCTCACTTATCTACATTGAAAATGTCTATTAGACTCTATCTCTAGTTTAGTAGATTATAACTTCTTCCTATTATGGTTCTGTGACAGAAGCAGAGTAAATAAACATAAACATACTGGAAACTGATTATATAGAGGCATAAAGTAGCCTCTTAAATTTGTCCTTTAAATCAGAATCCCTTCAATTCTCATCTCTTATCACTTCATGAGCATTTACATGTACTACTGGAGTTTACCTGATGGAGTACAATTGGTGAATGATATGACTAACTAAGTATATCTAGTATAAATATAATCACATATGAAGAAAAGTGACATGACACTATAGAAGACAGAAACAAAATCATGAGTATTCAGAAGGGAACTTTGAGAGGGATCCATACTTGACACTGTAGCTCACATAAATAATTCCGTTTCCATTCTTTAAAGCAGATTTCACAACAATTAGAAAGTTTATTCCCTGCACCAAGCTCTATTTTGGTCTTTGATGAAAGTTCATATTAGGAAGAATTGTGGACACTTTTGAAACAAAGAAGTATTTTAGTGAGTAGTGGCTATGTTCATTTAAAGTGAACCCAAAATTATTAAAGTTCCCCAAGAAACAAAAAGTGAAAATGAAACGAAAAGTACAGAAACTTAGCTGTATGATTACTGAAAAGAGTCCTAAAACACTACTTTTTAGATTTACATTTTAGATTAACAATAATTATTCCATAATCAGATTCAGTTCCTTCACAGATCTTCCAGTCCAAATTAAAGGAACTGCCTAGAGAAATTATCAGTGAATCACGATCCAAAAGTAGACTAATACTATACACAGCACATACAATAGAATTAATCATAGCTCACTTCCACCAGAGGACTACAGTTCATCTACTAGAGACCTGACACTTAGATTTAAGAAGCCAATAGAAATGTTCTACAAGTGGGTTAAGGAAGTAGGGAAAACAAACAAAAAACACCTTGGACAATGCTACCAAATGATGCTTTCAAAGAAATATCATGTAGAAAAGAAGATTTTCTTAAAATATAGAAACTGTTCTGATCAAAGACACGGAACTTTTCATGTGTATCATTATAGGGTTTATCATTAAAAATGAAAAAGGGGAGGGCTTGAAATAAAAAATCTAACTGTCAATACATAGTAAAATTACAAAGAAATGAAATAATGTCAAATATGAATAATGGTTTCCTCTGAGGCGAGAGGGAAGGTGGGGGTGCAATTTGTATTGGCACTGTTTTATTCCTTTAGATGCACTATTGATTACTCTTTATATATCTTTAAAATACTACATAATTTCATAGATATAATAGTCTAATGTTTGACACCTTTTATTGTAGAGTCCTCCAGCATTTCACCCTGCCCCATTAAGAGGAGGCAAAAGATTCAAGACTTAATACACTTACCTGATTAGACTTTTCTACTGTACTGCTGGGAACCTCAGTAGTGTCCTTCACAAAAAAATTATCTATGATGTGTCTCTCTGCACATTCTTGGCTGCAAACTGGACATCGAATGACTCCAACTGGGAAAGACAAAATTGCATTCTAAGTTTTTTTGTGTGTGTGGTATAATTGATATCATTATATTAGTTTTAGGTATACAGTATAATAATTGATATTTATGTATATTGCAAAATGATAGCCATAATAAGTTCAGTTAACATCCATCACCATACAGTTAGAAATTATTTCTTCCTATGGTGAGAACTTTCATGATCCACTCTCCTAGCTACTTTCAAATACTCGATACATTATTATTAACTATAGTTACCATGCTGTACATTATAAACCCATGACTTATCATTTTATAACTGGAAATTTGTACCTTTGGACCCTCATCACCCATTTCACCCACCCCAACCCCGCACCTGAGGCAACCACCAATCTTTTCTCTATTACCATGAGCTCGTATTCTAAGTTGTAATACAAATACACTGAGCACTAAACCAACACATCTTATCCATACTATGACTGGGCTCTTTTACAATATCTACTCTCTTCAAATTCATACCTGCTGTTACTAAACACAAATCAATTCCGTTTATGTTCATATTGGATTATGTATGTGTGTATAGATATAGATATGGATCTCCCACACCTAGTATATTAAAATGATAGATCATCTTCATAATTTTAAATGAGAAGCCCCTCCAGATAAACATCCTCATGCGCTACTCTTTTTATTGTTTAGCAACCAGTCTAGCAGTGGTTTTCAATTAGGGATGTGCAGAACCACATGGGAGATTTCTAAAAGAAAAAGCTCTGGACCTAGGGAATCAGGAATTCTGAAAGTGGAGCGGAGACATACTCCTTTTGTTTAAAATCTCTATGGTAGATTAAGAAACACTATTCTGTTTCCCTTTGATAAGTGCAAACAGTGTTCCTTTGGGGGGCAGGGGGAGAAGAATCATCTTTCATATGGTAAAAAAGAAAAAATTATGAATGCATTAAAATATGAATTTTTAATTAAATTTTTAAAAATCTAATATAAACCAGCACTGTAATTTGTACCAAGGAGACTGCAATAAAGTTCCAAGATATATATTTTTTGTAAAATGAAATGCATAAGAATGAACACAAAGTAATTCAAAGGTCAACTTGTATATACAGACAAGAAACAAAAATTTTAATTTAAAAAATCCATTTCACAATAGCAACAAAAACATATTAAGTACTTAAGAATAAATTTTTAAAAAATTTTAAAGCCACTGTGGAGAAAAATGTTAAGCCATATTTAGAAACATTTAAAAATAAGTAATGAAAAAACCATGTTCATGGTAGTAAAGACGTCAATTCTCCCCAAACATATCTATACAGTCAAGCAGTTTTCAATAACAATCCCAATCTATTTCAATAGAGTTTTGACAAGCTGGGGGGATATGCCTCCAAATAACAAGACTTACTATAAAGCTACAGTAATTACGGTGGTGTGATATTTATGTAAGGATAAGCAAAAATGGAATAAAATAAATACCAGAAGCAGGCTCACATACGTGTACATTTTATGTATGACAGATGTGGCACTAGAAACCAATGGGAAAAGGAATGAATTTTTTATGGTGCTATAGTTCTCTACAGCAGGAGGGAGATGAAATTAGATCTCCACTTTACTCAATTCTAAATGTAATTCTTTAGGATAGATTCAGAGCCTTAAAACTTTTACAAGGAATACAGGAGAATATCTGTGTAAACTTAGAGCCAGAATAAACTTTTTAAAGCAAGAAACAAAAAGCAAGAGCATAAGGAAAACATTAATGAATTCAACTTCATTAAAGTTAAGAACTACAGCTAGTCAAAAGATTACCATGAAGAGACAGAAGACAAGCTCCAAACTGGGAGAAGATAAACCCAACAAATAGTACTGACAAAGAATAATTAAAATCTATAAAGACATGACACTGAATTTTATGAAAGACAAAGACTGAGTAAACATATTTTTCCTTATTCCTCCAGATAAGTATTGCTAAAAACTCTAGACATTCTATATAAAACAACTGTAAGAAGACTAAATTAAAGGTAGACAGACGGTGGCAGACTGGCTAGAGACCTCAGGACCCAAGGAATGACACAGTGGTGAGTTCACTGGGGTTTTTCTTTTAGTCTCACACATTCCAAAGTGGGTGCTCATGAAGCCATCATCTCAGAAACACCAAAAGGTGTAAACAAAAAAAGCCTGCTCTCTCCATCCAAAAAACCAGGAAAGGAAGGGGCAGCCTAGCAAGACAGAAAACTTTTAGACAATAACTACTCTACTCCAGCCAAACACCAAAGCAAAAACTGTGCTCCCTTTCCCATCAGCAAAGGCCCAATGGGAAGCCCAGACTTCTACCCTGACCAAGTAGAAACCAGGGCACCTGGGTGTGTCAGAGAAGCCTGGGGGAGAGCTGGGGTTTTGATCCCCACTGGTAGTGAGGCCCCCAGTACTGCCAATGGAGACCGTGTGAGACCAGCCCAGCTCCAGGGCCAACTGATTTTTGACACAGGCAAAAGCATCTTCATGCTGACAAGTACAAAATGCTGATGAAAAATATACTCTGTTCATGGATTGGAAGATTCATCATAGTAGAGATGTCAACTTTCCTCAAGTTGATCCATAGGCTAACATATTCCTATCAAAATTCTAAGTAAGATTTTTTGTAGATATAGACAAGATTATTCCAAGATTTATGTGGAAAAGGAAAGGAACCAGAATAGTTAAAGCAATTTCAAACAAGAAAAAGTGAGAAGAATCACCATCCAATTTTAAGACTTACATAGAGACAGCAATTGAGACAGGGTGAATAGCAGAAGAACAGACACATAGATGAAAGAAACAGAATACAGCATCCAGAAATACACCCACACAAGTAAGCAAAACTGATTTTTGACAAAAGCGTGAAAACAATTCAGTGGAATAAAAAATCTTTTCAACAAAGTGTGCAGGAGCAACTGGGTATTTATTCATAAGCAAAAAAATTTACATAAAATTTTAAATTTTATATAAAATTTACTCAAAGTGGATCAGATTTAAATATAAAACATAAAATTATGAAACCTTTACGAGAAAATCTTAAGGACTTAGGACTTGTTGAAGAGTTCTTAGACATCAAAAACACAATCCATAAAAGAAAAATATGGACAAATTTGATTTCATCAAACTTAAAAACTTTTGCTCTGCAAGAGCAAGAAAAAAGATGAAAAAACAAGCTATGCACTGGGAGAAAATATTTGCAAATCACAGATCTAACAAAGGATTCATATCTACAATATAAAAAGAATGCTCAAAACGCAACAGAAAAACAACCCAATTACAAGATGGGGAAAGGCCTGAAGAGACATTTCACTGATGAGTATATACACATGGCAAATAAGCACAAGATAAGACATTCCACATCACTAGCCATCATGTAAAAGCAAATTAAGATCATGATGAGATACCAGTACACAGCTATTAAAACAGCTAAAACAAAAAGTAATAACACCACCAAATGCTGGCGAAAATGTGGAGAAATTGGATTTCTCACACATTCTCAGTGGGAACGTAAAACGGTAGAGTTACTCTGGAAAACAGTTTGGCAGTTTCTTCACAAACTAAACATAATATTTATCATATGAATCAACAATCTCATTCCTGGGCATTCCAGAGAAATAAACTTTAGGTCCACACAAAAATCTGAACAAACATTTTAATTCAGTGCTGATATTCAAAACAGCCCCAAACTTGAAACAACCCAAACCTCCTTAAATAAATTAAAGGTTAAATAAACTGTGCTACACCCATACCATGGAATACTAGTCAGCAATAAAAGGGAACTAACTATTGATAAATGCAACAAATTGGATGGATCTTAAGGGTATCATTCTGAGCAAAAAAAAGCCAATATCAAAAGGTCACTTATGAACAATTCCATTTACATAGCATTCTCAAAATTATATGATTATAGAGATGGGAAACAGATTAGTCCTTTCTCTGAAATTAGGGACCATGGGGTGTGGGGCAAGGAGAGCATTAAGTATGACTACAAGGGGGTAACATGAGGCAGAGCTTTGGTGGTGATGAAATAGTTCTGTATCTTGATTGTGATGGTGGTTATATGAATCTACACATGATAAAGTGGCATAGAACTATACATACTATTGTACCCAATGTTTATTCCCTGGTTTTAATATTATACTATATTTATATAAGATGTAATCATTGGGAAAAACTAGGTACACAGGATTTCTCTGTAACTTTCAATAAATTTATTATTCAATAAATTTATTATTTCAAAGCAAAAATTAAAAAAAAAAACCTAAAACAAACTAACATTTATTAAGTGCTCTTCTTGTATGTACTGCTTTATCCTCACACGGATGAGGAAACAAGATCAGAGAACCTGGTTAACTTGACCAAGGTCACACACTAGTGGAGCTATGATTTGAATCCATAACTGACTGACCCCAGAGCACAGGCTCTGTACTACTACACTTTACAAAAATGTCTTAGAGGGGCTGGCCCCATGGCCGAGGGGTCAAGTTTGCCTGCTCTGCTTTGGCAGCCCAGGGTTTCGCCAGTTCAGATCCTGGGCGTGGACACGGCACCACTCATCAGGCCATGCTGAGGAGGCATCCCACATAACACGACCAGAGGTACTCACAACTAGGATATACAAACTATGTACTGGAGGGCTTTGGGGAGAAGAAGAGAAAAAAAAAAGAAGATTGGCAACAGATGTTACCTCAGGTGCCCATCTTTCTTAAAAAAACAAAAGCAGAATATTAAAAAAAAAGAATGGGGGCCAGCTCCGTGGCCGAGTGGTTAAGTTCGTGCGCTCTGCTGCAGGCGGCCCAGGGTTCGGATCCTGGGCGCAGACATGGCACCGCTCGTCAGGCCACGTTGAGGTGGCGTCCCACACCCCACAACTAGAAGGACCTGCAACTAAGATATACAACTATGTATGGGCAGGTTGAGGAGATAAAGCAGAAAAAAAAAACAAAAAAAAAAGATTGGCAACAGTTGTTAGCTCAGGTGCTAATCTTTAAAAAAAAAAAAAAAGTCTTA